GAAATGGTAATTTGGTATGCTTAAATGTAATAAACACAAACCTTAAACATTGAGAGTAATAAGTTTTGATATATGGTATAGATAGGTAAAAATCCCTTTTATTTTTACTTGTCACTTTATACATATCAAGATAAAGACAACTTTTATTTTTTCTATTACACCTGCAATATTTATTACTCATTTCATATTATTTTTTCAAATCTAATAAAATATGCATCAATTAATATGTGTATCATGATAAATTATGCACTTCATTTATTATTTCTTAAGGGCATGTAAAGTTAAAACGTGCCAAGTAAAAGTAAATGGAGGGAGTACTAAGTTGAGCTTGGATAAGACATTGAAACTATAACTACTTTTTCTACCTTCACATTTTCGGCATTATTATTATTTGACAAGTAATAATATTATTAAACATTTTAAAACTATTTGTAACTATAAAATGGTGGCTTATAATACTTTATATATAATTACTAAAATATAAATTTTACTGAAAGTTAGACGCACTGACCATATTTTTGGACGGAAGGTGTGTAATATGTATCCAAGTGAGATCTAATAGTCAAATAGTCACAATTTGAATGACAGCCACATGAGTTGGAATATAGTACTCTGGTTGGGCTTTCTAATTTTGTCTTTTAATTCTCTTGAAAAAAAACCCTTCAATTTTGGCATACAGACTTCTATGAATTTGGAAAAAGAAAAGAAACTATAAGTGACTTTTACGCAAACAGCCAGCCGGATTTACTTTTCCTAGACTGTATACATAGAGTATACACATATTATATATGAATTTTAATATATTATGTATTTACCAGCTATCTGTAAATTAAAACAGTTGGGCAGGCGGATATTTAAATTAATTCTTCTACTAAAATATTACCATGGTTGAAAATGAATGCAGAGCACAGGGGCATTTACATTGTGTTCTGGATTATCAGTATGGAATGCCTTAGTATTTGAGATTGTGATGACTTTTGGGCTTGTTTACACTGTTTATGCCACTGCTATTGACCCAAAAAAGGGAGATTTGGGTGTGATTGCTCCAATTGCCATTGGTTTCATTGTCGGGGCCAACATTCTTGTTGGTGGGGCCTTTGATGGAGCCTCAATGAACCCTGCTGTTTCTTTTGGGCCTGCTTTGGTTAGCTGGACTTGGACTCATCAGTGGGTTTACTGGGCTGGGCCCATAATTGGTGCTGGGCTTGCTGGTGTTGTCTATGAACTTTTTTTCATCAACCACTCTCATGAGCAAGTGCCTAGTGCTGAGTATTAAGGAAATCAAAATCTAAATTTCTTGCTTTTGTATTTACTTCCTATGAGTTTTTATTTTTATATTAAAACTTTGTTGTGTCTATCTGATTGGACAGTTTTTAATGTATTGTGACGGCTGTTCTTCCCTGTATTTTTATTTTCTTGAGTTAACTTGGCCACGGGGAATAAGTTATTTAAATACTTAAAAATTTATGTAGATTCAGGTTATTCTCTAGCTTATAAGTAGTTTTATCCTTTTTTATTTTAAAAATATTAGACCATTTCTCGATTTATCATGTCCCTTGCTTATCCAATAGGTGAAAGATGATTTTAGCTTATTATGAGTGGGTCCTAAGGAACCCTTTGACAGCTACTTGTTGGAGAACAGGGTTGTAATTAATCTCAACTAGTCTACCTTGACTTTTTATTCAAAACTTGAAGAAGAAGAAAAAATCAAAATAAAAGGCATTTCTTGGTGAGACATTTTGCGGAAACTTATTTTTTGAGTGCCAAGATGTTTGGAGAATTTAGTAATTATAAACTCTCGAGTGCCATTATTAGATCAGTTAGCTGAGGCCTAAGAAAAGAAAGGATCCTCTTCAAACAATACAGAGTTCATTACTTATATGGTCACTCAATTATTCCAAATTATCTATCAAAGTCATTTTTCTTTTATTTTGTAACAGAAAAGTCACTTAACCATGTTTATCGTACTCAGAAAGTCACTCAACCAAATTTCTCAAATTTTTTATGGCCAAATATCTAATTTTACCCTCTAAAGTTTCAATCTGTGTTTTTTAAAAGATATTATGATTTTTTTTCCTTTTTAATCTATATTATGGACTTACCGATAGAACAAATAAATTTTATTAAAAATAAAAAAAGTGCAAAATACTTTTTAAACATTTACAATCTCTAACATGTGTAGACACATAAACTGAAATATTCAAAGAATCAAGGGATATACCCAAATATAATGCAAAGTAAAATGACACATACGCATAGTTAGAACCAGAATAAACAATGCCAAAACATCTTTATGAAAGATTGAGACAATACCTGTAATGACTGGATCAAATGTCTCTGCCTCAGGTATACCTGGGAAAGCGTAACAACGAGCATGTCCCCTACTAGTCTGTGCTCCTCATCTAGGATGAGCTCTATCTGGTTGAGGAGACCTATGTCAACATAGACACACAAAGAGAGAAATTACATCCGAACACTACAATTAAATGACATTTTATATGAATATTATATCATTTTTTATTTAATTTATCTAAATTATACATTATCCGAACTACAACTAAATGTTATTTCACTTTAATTCATTTGTAAACATTAAAAAATTTTCGAATCAAGCCCGTATGAAATTTGGATTAAATCCCAAATTCAAGACAATACAAGAACAGTCAATTAGGGTTACTTAGAAGTTGCGCTACCCTAAGGCCCATTAGAATTGCTTGGAGGCTATTCTAAATCCTAGCTCATATTTATTTTAAAAAAAAGGGTACATATTTACTTGAGAAGACATTTTAATTAATTCGTAGAATATTCATAAAGAGATGAAGATGTGATGGGATACGTCTTGATAATCAAATACTTCAAGAAGATCCAAAAATTCTCCTGTAAAGATCAAATATATCTTAAGAAGATCTGCATATCAAGGGAACAAACAGAATTATACTCAGAATTTATTACTTAAATTTACTTTGTTGTGTGATTATAATTTACTATTTGTATGCTACAATTTGTTGTAACCAAATTGGCATGCCAATTGGGATCAAATCTACCCTTCATCTCTTCTCTCACGATGAAAAGAATATGACGTCTTATTTTCTTGTACTTCAAGCCTCGTCTACAACTATCTTGTAAGTCTACGCCATGACAAGTCTTGAATTAGGAAGCATTTGTAGACATCAAAATTTTAACGGATCAAACTTGTAGGAAATTTGGATTAAATCCAAAATTCAAAACACTACAAGAAGAGTCCATTAAGGTTATATGGAGGCTACGCTAACCTAGAGCCCACCAGGATTGTTTAAAGGCTAATCTACCCTAAATTCTAGCTCATGTATATAAAAAGGCATACATATTTGCTTAAGTAGACATCTCGAAAATATTGTAAACTCATGAAATATTCATAAAGAAAACAAGGTGTGATCAGACACTTCTTGTCACGACCCCAAACTAGACCCGGTCATAATGATGCCTTTCGTGAAGATAAGACCAACCGACAAAATTCCCATATTTATTTTTAACAATTTTAATAAGTCAATTTAAGTCATTGATAAGAAATAAATCCCAAAATTTAAGCGAAATAGAACAAGTACAGAAATAGATACAGCCCGACATCGGGGTGTCACAAGTCACGAGCATCTACTAAGGTCTAAATACAATAAAAAGTCTAAAAATGTACTAAATACAGTCTAATGAAATCAAGAGGGAGAAAGCAGTGCTGCGAACATCGGGCAACTACCTTGCTAATCTCTGATGACTCTGCCTCTGAGCAACCAACACCCGCTACCGGATTCAGAAATACCTGAATCTACACCTTGCAGGGAGTAATGTGAGTACTCCGAATCAGTGAGTAATAAAGGTAAATGAAAGTTGAGCAGTAAGAAAACACGTAAATCACGTCAATACGCTACAACAAATACAGAATATTTTCAACACAGTACGGGAATCATTTTCTTCGTAAATCATGCTTAGTTTCAGTGAAAACCTTTTAAAATAATTTTTCAACAGTTTCAAACGAGTGATAAAATAGTGAGTAAACTAATAGAAACATAAACAACCCTTCGACAAAACATGTACCATAAACCGCCCTTCGAGCATAATATCAACAGAACCAGCCCCTCGGACTACCTTACAATCACTCGTAATCAGCTTCTCGGGCATAACATAAATCAAGAACCACCCCTCGGGCAATAACATGGAACAACATCAGCCCTCGGGCTATATCACATAACACACTAGGTACCCGTGCTCACTAGGGGTGTACAGACTCCGGGATGGGCCCCTTACGGCCCAAGCGCAATATCAAGCCATCTCGTGGCATAATCAGTAGGCTCTCGGCCTCATAACAAGCCACCTCGTGGCGTACAATCTTAGGCTCTCATCCTCATAATCATAATCAGTGTATCACTGCTGCGGCATGCAGCCCGGCCCAAAGTATCCTCACAACACATGTCATCGGCCTTACTCAGTCAGAATCTTATAAGCCACTCGGGCAACAGTAAAACATGATGCTCAGCCCAAAATATCATTTAATGTGTTAAAATAGAGTAAACATGGCTGAGATATGGAAACAGTAAAATAAAGCATGACTGAGTACAAGTATAACGTCAAAATAGTGAGGAAATAGTAGTAAAAATCCCCTAAGGGTCGAAATAGTCGGCACGAGGTCCAAATATGACATTCAGCCCAAAACATGATGATAGCAAATAGTTTTCAGTCAAATACGCGGTAAAATAGTCATTCGGGGCGGACTAAGTCACAATCCCCAATGGTACACGACCCCACGCTCGTCCTCTAGCGTGTGCGTCACCTCAATATAGTACAACGATGTGAAATCTGGGGTTGCATACCCTCGGGACAACATTTACAATCATTACTCACTTCTATCCGGTCCAATCTCTAGCTCGTGATGCCTTTGCCTCTCGAATCGACCTCCGGATGCTCCAAATCTAACCAAAATCAGTGCAAAACCATCAAAATATGCTAAGGGAACAAAGCCCACTTGAAAGAAATCAAATTACAACACAAATCCCGAAATTGGCCAAACTCGACCCCCGGGCCCACGTCTCGGATTCCGATAAAATTACATCAATAGACTCCTTATCACTCCCCGAGTTCATTCATCTCAAAAGCATCAAAATCCAACCACAAACGACCCCTCAAATCCCAAATTCTAGGTCTCCAATTACAAGCCCTAGTTCTTCAATATAAGGCTTAAATTCTATGATTAATTAGGTAGAATTCACATTAGAATCGAGTATTAAGTCCAGAAATCTTACCTCCAAGTGTTCCCCCTTGAATCCCTCTTCAATCCTCTTCAAAAAGCTCCAAAATCGCTCAAAAATGGTGGAAGTTAACCCCAAAATTGCGGACAAATGACTATTTAAACATTCTGCCCAGACATTCAAATCCTTCTTCGCGAACGCGGTCAAAGCCTTGCGCTCGCGAAGCACAAACTTAAGTTGACCAAATTTTCCTCCTTCGTGAACGCGTATGACCTCTCGCGAACGCGATGCCTCTTGACTCCAACCTTCGCGAACGCGGCTCCCCTTATCACGAACGCGATGCTCAATGGCCCAGCCCTTCGTGAACACGGGACCTCCCTCGCGAACGCGAAGGACAAACCTTCAGCCTCACCTGCTAACCCTTCGCGAACGCGAGGCTCCACTCTCGAACGCGAAGGCCAATTGTCTGCAACACAATACCAGAAAATCTGCCAAGCCCAAAGTCCAAAAATTGATCCGTTAACCACCCGAAACACACCCGAGGCCCTCGGGACCTAAACCAAACATGCCAACATATCCTATAACATCATTCAAACTTGTTCCGATCTTCGGAACGCTCAAAACAACATCAAAACACCAAATTCACATCGGATTCAAGCCTAAGAATTCAAAAATCTTCTAAATTACGTTTTCGATCAAAAAGTCTATCAAACCTTGTCTGAATGACCTGAAATTTTGCACACACGTCACAAATGACATAACAGACCTACTTCAACTTCCGAAATTCTATTCCAACCCCTATATCAAAATCTCACTTATAATTGCAAGACGCCAAAATCTCAATTTCGCCAATTCAAGCCTAAACCTTCCGCGGACCTCCAAAACACATTTCGATCATGCTCCTAAGTCCCAAATCACCTAATGGAGCTAACCAAATTATAAAAATTCCAATCCGAGGTCATCTACTAACAAGTCAAACCTTTCAAATTTTAAGCTTCAAACTGAGAACTGTTCTTCCAAATTCATTCCGATTACCCTGAAAATCAAAACCAACAATTTA